GGTCTTCTGTTTCTCTCACACAATAAGACTTCTCTCACTCCCTACACAGTTTTCGGCCATCATTATTGTTTATGCATCAAGTGTAGTAGTAACGTTTACAATTATCATTTTGCTATCTCAGTGTAACTCTCATATTAACTATTAATTATTCCTATTTTATTACAATTATTACTTTTGACTGTATTTTGCACGATTAGTTAATCAAGTAATTTACATAACCTCAAAAGTACTCAACACGTGGCACGAGCTCCCACCAACAACGGCTTTTGTGTTGTAAGTATACTTTTTTTATTTATATCGAAAATGCTTGGCTGCTTAGCGTATCTTTGGATTTCCAATTCATGAACAGGATCCAGCAGTTGTTCAGTTAGCCGTCCATCTTGAAAACGGTCAGCATGTATATTTCACGAACGACACAGCGATTGATCGTGCTATAAATCCACCTAAAACTACACTCACTGAATTTTTTGAATTGTGTAATCGTGCGGATGATTTTGGTGCCTTTGCACGAACATTACGCTATTCACAGGTACCACGCTATTTCACATGGGCTCAAACAAAAAAATGGATGCCCCGCAAGCAAGGCTCACCAGTTGATGCATGTCTCAATTTATTTAAATCAAACGCCTTGGGCCATTATTTACAGTCAATCCAAGACACACTGAGTGCTTTTATCTTCGACTGTTGTTGGTTAATGTTACTGGCCTATTATCATTTCAAGATATACGTAAAGTGAATGGGCAACAGTATCCAACGTATAAAGATGCATGCCTTGCACTCGGCTTGCTGGAAGACGACAACCAATGGGAATGTATGCTTGCTGAAGCTGCATTGAACTTTACAGCAATACAAATTCGTCTACTATTCGCTATAGTGTTGACTACATGTTTCCCAGCCCGAGCACAGATATTGTGGGATAATCACAAAGATTCAATGACTGATGATATATTGCATCAACATCGAACACGGTGCAACGATCTAATGATAACATTCAGCGACGCTATGTACAATGAAGCATTGATTGCTATTGAGGATCTTTGCATTGTCATTGCCAACTTATCACTCAGTCATTTTGGTATGAATTCGCCAAATCGAACTGCATCTGATTTAATGAACACTGAAATGAGTCGTGAACTGCAGTACAACACTGTAGAAATGGCAGCGATTGTTACTCGCAACGTCCCACTGATGAATGACGAACAAAGAACCATTTATGACCGCATTATGCTCGCAGTTTCAGCAGGACAAGGTGGGTTCTTCTTTTTGGATGCACCGGGTGGAACTGGCAAAACATTCCTTATTTCGCTAATTCTTGCTGAAATACGATCAAATAATGGCATCGCATTGGCCGTTGCATCATCGGGCATTGCGGCAACTTTATTGGATGGAGGCAGAACAGCTCATTCAGTATTTAAGCTGCCACTAAATATTCAAAATAACCCTGACGCAGTATGCAACATNATTATTGAACATGAAACAAGAAATTTCTAAAGTTTGATTTTCTTCGTTTATTAACGTTTATTTTGTGCATAAAACAATTGATTTTATGTACGGAAAAAAAATATGGTTTTTAGAATAAATACAAATTTTATTTATTAGCAAGCAATATGGTTATTTTTACTTGTTTACGTACGTGTCATTTATTTATAGCGATAACATTCATTTGTATTATTACGGAGAATTCGTTTATTGTTAGAAGTGTATTCAGAAACACGACAAGTAATCGTGTTTGCACGAAGATCAATTATTCTCACTCGCTTTATTTTCAGATACGAAAGAGATTAGAATAAGTGAATTTTACCGTAAATGTCGTTTTTTTTAAATCATAAACAGTAAAAAGTTTTAATAACGAAACCTTTTCATTTGAAAAATAGATATATCACGCAGACAACCAATTTCTAAACGTTGTATATATATTAAAGTGAAATAAACATTGCGGGACATAATTGTAGGGTCCCAGACGAGGTTCGAACTGGAGTAAACCGTGAAATTCATGCGCGACACGAGATGTAAACAACGAGACTCGGTGCGGTTCGAGTATGTGTCAACTATCTGTTAATGTCTTAGAGGAAGACAAACTCTAACACGAGCGCTCATAAACAGGTAGATCTTTGACTCGCGTGTCTATAAAATGTTGGCCGAGATAAACTTTTTTCGAACAAAAAATAGAGGAAATTTTGATAGGTGAAAGGTGAAAATGATCGTTAAATTCTTAGACGTCAAAAATGGTAAATAACGGCCTGAGTTATGAGTGCAGGTGTTAACTGCAAAAGTTCAACCCTTATTGACTGATTGATGTAATAAAGTAACGCGACACAACGGCGATCTGCGAAAAGGTAATGCTTCCGGAAATGCTTTTCTGCGGAAACTACTCGTTATTTAAGTGTCAGGGAGGCGAAAACTGCCCACAAATAACCACGCGACAAGTCCGTTATTCAGCCCAAACCCGCTACCTGTATTTAGCTGTTTTAGCCACTTTACCCCGTAATTTTATAAAGTATTATTTAGTTATATTAAATAAACAAGTATTGTATTTTTATTACGAAGTTAATACAAAATTTAATATAAGATTACATATAATATGCTCATCACTTTCTTTGGTATTAATAAAGCGAAAAGGAGTAGCGTGACACACGAAAATAAAGAAGTTGAGTAGTACCAAACTCTGTTTTCAGCCGACTTTCGGTAGTAAATAACTTTATTTTTCTGCTCAAAAAATGTCTAAGATTTTTTGAGCAGAAAAGATTCTAAAAACCAGAAAAACTTAAAATTATTGAATAAAAATTAAAAATTATCACCCCGACCTTACCGCCTCTAGTGGCCAGGATGTAAACTATATTTCCGCGGGAAAGTTGCTGAAACTATTCGAATAAGTAGACATTTTTAGACATCGATCTGTGGAACAATTTAAGTAGATTCGGGGATCCGTATCTTCTATTCATACGTTACTTCAGAAATGGTTACTGTTTTAGACTTTTACCACGGAATTCCTATCGGAACAGCACGTGTTGCGACAATATCTTCTAATTGCCATCACTACGTGTTCGTGAATAACGTCTCGCGCCATCCGCCATTGGAGATTGGATTTCGATGAGTTTTTAAATTATTTTTGTACCGTTCTCGAGCGAATTTTTGCTTTAATTTACTGTAGCGTGTTATTTACTGTATTTTAGAATTTTTATCTATATGACTTTGTAATGATGTACCGGTACACGCTGTTTGTCTATTCGAGTCTTTCTCAACGGGGGCGATTAGTAACAATTTATATTTTCGGAGGCGAAAAAACTATATATTTCAACGCTTTTCCCGTGTAATACCACAACTCTGGAAATCTCTAAAACATGGACTACTTTATTTAAACGTTATAAATTAGATTGCTAGAGCTACATGGTCGCATAGCAACTATAGTTTGCGAATTTTTATAATTTTCCGTTCTATTTCGAGACATTTTCGAACTGCAAGAAAATCTCGATTTACATTGGAGTTCCATTTAGCCTCACCGCTTTTTCAAGAAGTGCTACAACTCTGATACAGAAAACTCTAGTACAAGTCGACCCCCCTATAACACTGTTGATAATTCAGTTTTATATGAGTTCCATGTTGTACGAGTCACTTAGATTTTACAAATACGTGAGATGTTCACAGCCCAGCACACGTATTTGTAAAATCTAAGTGACTCGTACAACATGGAACTCATATAAAACTGAATTATCAACAGTGTTATAGGGGGGTCGACTTGTACTAGAGTTTTCTGTATCAGAGTTGTAGCACTTCTTGAAAAAGCGGTGAGGCTAAATGGAACTCCAATGTAAATCGAGATTTTCTTGCAGTTCGAAAATGTCTCGAAATAGAACGGAAAATTATAAAAATTCGCAAACTATAGTTGCTATGCGACCATGTAGCTCTAGCAATCTAATTTATAACGTTTAAATAAAGTAGTCCATGTTTTAGAGATTTCCAGAGTTGTGGTATTACACGGGAAAAGCGTTGAAATATATAGTTTTTTCGCCTCCGAAAATATAAATTGTTACTAATCGCCCCCGTTGAGAAAGACTCGAATAGACAAACAGCGTGTACCGGTACATCATTACAAAGTCATATAGATAAAAATTCTAAAATACAGTAAATAACACGCTACAGTAAATTAAAGCAAAAATTCGCTCGAGAACGGTACAAAAATAATTTAAAAACTCACCGAAATCCAATCTCCAATGGCGGATGGCGCGAGACGTTATTCACGAACACGTAGTGATGGCAATTAGAAGATATTGTCGCAACACGTGCTGTTCCGATAGGAATTCCGTGGTAAAAGTCTAAAACAGTAACCATTTCTGAAGTAACGTATGAATAGAAGATACGGATCCCCGAATCTACTTAAATTGTTCCACAGATCGATGTCTAAAAATGTCTACTTATTCGAATAGTTTCAGCAACTTTCCCGCGGAAATATAGTTTACATCCTGGCCACTAGAGGCGGTAAGGTCGGGGTGATAATTTTTAATTTTTATTCAATAATTTTAAGTTTTTCTGGTTTTTAGAATCTTTTCTGCTCAAAAAATCTTAGACATTTTTTGAGCAGAAAAATAAAGTTATTTACTACCGAAAGTCGGCTGAAAACAGAGTTTGGTACTACTCAACTTCTTTATTTTCGTGTGTCACGCTACTCCTTTTCGCTTTATTAATACCAAAGAAAGTGATGAGCATATTATATGTAATCTTATATTAAATTTTGTATTAACTTCGTAATAAAAATACAATACTTGTTTATTTAATATAACTAAATAATACTTTATAAAATTACGGGGTAAAGTGGCTAAAACAGCTAAATACAGGTAGCGGGTTTGGGCTGAATAACGGACTTGTCGCGTGGTTATTTGTGGGCAGTTTTCGCCTCCCTGACACTTAAATAACGAGTAGTTTCCGCAGAAAAGCATTTCCGGAAGCATTACCTTTTCGCAGATCGCCGTTGTGTCGCGTTACTTTATTACATCAATCAGTCAATAAGGGTTGAACTTTTGCAGTTAACACCTGCACTCATAACTCAGGCCGTTATTTACCATTTTTGACGTCTAAGAATTTAACGATCATTTTCACCTTTCACCTATCAAAATTTCCTCTATTTTTTGTTCGAAAAAAGTTTATCTCGGCCAACATTTTATAGACACGCGAGTCAAAGATCTACCTGTTTATGAGCGCTCGTGTTAGAGTTTGTCTTCCTCTAAGACATTAACAGATAGTTGACACATACTCGAACCGCACCGAGTCTCGTTGTTTACATCTCGTGTCGCGCATGAATTTCACGGTTTACTCCAGTTCGAACCTCGTCTGGGACCCTACAATTATGTCCCGCAATGTTTATTTCACTTTAATATATATACAACGTTTAGAAATTGGTTGTCTGCGTGATATATCTATTTTTCAAATGAAAAGGTTTCGTTATTAAAACTTTTTACTGTTTATGATTTAAAAAAAACGACATTTACGGTAAAATTCACTTATTCTAATCTCTTTCGTATCTGAAAATAAAGCGAGTGAGAATAATTGATCTTCGTGCAAACACGATTACTTGTCGTGTTTCTGAATACACTTCTAACAATAAACGAATTCTCCGTAATAATACAAATGAATGTTATCGCTATAAATAAATGACACGTACGTAAACAAGTAAAAATAACCATATTGCTTGCTAATAAATAAAATTTGTATTTATTCTAAAAACCATATTTTTTTTCCGTACATAAAATCAATTGTTTTATGCACAAAATAAACGTTAATAAACGAAGAAAATCAAACTTTAGAAATTTCTTGTTTCATGTTCAATAATATCTAAAATACGAGTATTACATATTTTTCAAGGAAAGTTAATAAAATCATTTCCACAAGTCATTATTTGTTACTATTATGATGTTTAATAATATGATATTTTAAAGAACGTTTAAAACAAAATTTTTCTGAGCAATGATTACACGAGAATGGTTTCTCTCCGGTGTGAAGACGAAGATGTTCTATCAGATTATGTTTAAGTGTAAAACTTCGTTTGCAATAATCGCAACAGAATGGCTTTTCCCCCGTGTGAGTTCGGAGATGTTGAATCAGATTTCCTTTATGTGCAAAACGTTGCTTGCAATGATCACAGGCAAAGGGTTTTTCTCCAGTGTGGATCCTTCGATGATATTTTAACCCATTTTTCGAAACGTATTCTTTGTCGCAACTGTTACATCGATACTTCCCATTTCTTGAATTCTGATTGCTTAAACCTGTAAAATACGATTAGAGCATTAAAACTGAAACTCTCTTCACTTTATTGCTAATCGAATACGTAAATATCTAAAATTAATCGCTGATTTTAAAGTATTGTTAGAGTTTGCGTGCAGATAGAAAAAGAATTTTCTTTCTAGAAAGGTTCTTTAAACGAAAATTGATACCTTACAACTAACTAGACCACCCCACATCAAACAATAAATCATACGTAAACTGCTTACACCAGTATTTGCAAATATTTCCAAGCAGTATACACATACTATCACAAATTAATGTAATTTATACATTTATCTCAAAGCAATTTATGTGAAGAGTATTTTAACAAATAACATATTTGGAAATTATTTAAAATATCTCCTTCATTTCATTTCTGTTTCTCTTCATTTGCTTGACATATATTCTTCCTTTTTCATATTCTTGTATAATTTCTTATCAATGCCTCAAATTTAGTCTTCTGTAAACAGAAGTTAAACGCATTCCTCGACTCATCCTTTTTCCTGGAAACAATTCTTCATTTGATTCTTTTCTCTTTATTGTTTAACAGTGAATCTGAAAACAAAGTTTTGAAATCAGATACGAAAATGATGTTATACATTATTTTATAAAACAAATGAAATATTTCAAATTAAATAATTTTAGAAATTCTTTCTTGAACACGTCATCCACAAAATTCAAGCTGGGTTCAAGATCTGAAAAATAAACGTTTTTAAGTTAATTTTCTTAAACAGGAATACATATGCATGTGAAGTGCATTGATTAATTATTAATAGGATATTTAAAATAATTTTATCTGCTATGTTCAAAAACAAGTAGATCAGATAATATTGTATTTTACGAAGATCCTTTCTTTTTATTTTGATATTTCACAACTTTGATTGAAGAATTTAAAATTTTAAAACAACCATTTCTAACCTTTTCCTAAAAATTGTGGCTTTAACAATGCCTAAGAAAAAATAAAAGATGTACTTACGTTTGTTTACAATAAGTCAAGAAACTTCTTTCAACAAAAAAACGTATAGCACTTTCTATACTTGTTAGCAAATCCCACAAACCAAACTCTAAGGCCATTCGATATAACAAGAAATGTTGCTCGAGAAATCTTCAGCTATTTACTGTCGTTTCTTCTCCACTTTTCAGTTCGGACAGAACCGAAGATGACGGCAGAACTCTATCTGAATTGGCATTTGCTTTTTTTTTCTCTGTAAATCAATTGTCAATATTCTGAAGAAAATAAGAAGTGGCACCATTTAATATTTAAATTCTAATTGTTTTCATTTCTGTATTTTTCGAAAGTTACAAATTGAAATTCGAAAAATAATATTTCATTCGAATATTATTGAAAAGGGATGAATACTTTTAAACAATATATAAAAGTCGCGCATGAATTTCACGGTTTACTCCAGTTCGAACCTCGTCTGGGACAATACAATTATGTCCCGCAATGTTTATTTCACTTTAATATATATACAACGTTTAGAAATTGGTTGTCTGCGTGATATATCTATTTTTCAAATGAAAAGGTTTCGTTATTAAAACTTTTTACTGTTTATGATTTAAAAAAAACGACATTTACGGTAAAATTCACTTATTCTAATCTCTTTCGTATCTGAAAATAAAGCGAGTGAGAATAATTGATCTTCGTGCAAACACGATTACTTGTCGTGTTTCTGAATACACTTCTAACAATAAACGAATTCTCCGTAATAATACAAATGAATGTTATCGCTATAAATAAATGACACGTACGTAAACAAGTAAAAATAACCATATTGCTTGCTAATAAATAAAATTTGTATTTATTCTAAAAACCATATTTTTTTTCCGTACATAAAATCAATTGTTTTATGCACAAAATAAACGTTAATAAACGAAGAAAATCAAACTTTAGAAATTTCTTGTTTCATGTTCAATAATATCTAAAATACGAGTATTACATATTTTTCAAGGAAAGTTAATAAAATCATTTCCACAAGTCATTATTTGTTACTATTATGATGTTTAATAATATGATATTTTAAAGAACGTTTAAAACAAAATTTTTCTGAGCAATGATTACACGAGAATGGTTTCTCTCCGGTGTGAAGACGAAGATGTTCTATCAGATTATGTTTAAGTGTAAAACTTCGTTTGCAATAATCGCAACAGAATGGCTTTTCCCCCGTGTGAGTTCGGAGATGTTGAATCAGATTTCCTTTATGTGCAAAACGTTGCTTGCAATGATCACAGGCAAAGGGTTTTTCTCCAGTGTGGATCCTTCGATGATATTTTAACCCATTTTTCGAAACGTATTCTTTGTCGCAACTGTTACATCGATACTTCCCATTTCTTGAATTCTGATTGCTTAAACCTGTAAAATACGATTAGAGCATTAAAACTGAAACTCTCTTCACTTTATTGCTAATCGAATACGTAAATATCTAAAATTAATCGCTGATTTTAAAGTATTGTTAGAGTTTGCGTGCAGATAGAAAAAGAATTTTCTTTCTAGAAAGGTTCTTTAAACGAAAATTGATACCTTACAACTAACTAGACCACCCCACATCAAACAATAAATCATACGTAAACTGCTTACACCAGTATTTGCAAATATTTCCAAGCAGTATACACATACTATCACAAATTAATGTAATTTATACATTTATCTCAAAGCAATTTATGTGAAGAGTATTTTAACAAATAACATATTTGGAAATTATTTAAAATATCTCCTTCATTTCATTTCTGTTTCTCTTCATTTGCTTGACATATATTCTTCCTTTTTCATATTCTTGTATAATTTCTTATCAATGCCTCAAATTTAGTCTTCTGTAAACAGAAGTTAAACGCATTCCTCGACTCATCCTTTTTCCTGGAAACAATTCTTCATTTGATTCTTTTCTCTTTATTGTTTAACAGTGAATCTGAAAACAAAGTTTTGAAATCAGATACGAAAATGATGTTATACATTATTTTATAAAACAAATGAAATATTTCAAATTAAATAATTTTAGAAATTCTTTCTTGAACACGTCATCCACAAAATTCAAGCTGGGTTCAAGATCTGAAAAATAAACGTTTTTAAGTTAATTTTCTTAAACAGGAATACATATGCATGTGAAGTGCATTGATTAATTATTAATAGGATATTTAAAATAATTTTATCTGCTATGTTCAAAAACAAGTAGATCAGATAATATTGTATTTTACGAAGATCCTTTCTTTTTATTTTGATATTTCACAACTTTGATTGAAGAATTTAAAATTTTAAAACAACCATTTCTAACCTTTTCCTAAAAATTGTGGCTTTAACAATGCCTAAGAAAAAATAAAAGATGTACTTACGTTTGTTTACAATAAGTCAAGAAACTTCTTTCAACAAAAAAACGTATAGCACTTTCTATACTTGTTAGCAAATCCCACAAACCAAACTCTAAGGCCATTCGATATAACAAGAAATGTTGCTCGAGAAATCTTCAGCTATTTACTGTCGTTTCTTCTCCACTTTTCAGTTCGGACAGAACCGAAGACGACGGCAGAACTCTATCTGAATTGGCATTTGCTTTTTTTTCTCTGTAAATCAATTGTCAATATTCTGAAGAAAATAAGAAGTGGCACCATTTAATATTTAAATTCTAATTGTTTTCATTTCTGTATTTTTCGAAAGTTACAAATTGAAATTCGAAAAATAATATTTCATTCGAATATTATTGAAAAGGGATGAATACTTTTAAACAATATAAAAAATTATTAATAATGAATGGCGATTTATTGTGACACGGTCACAATGCCGTGCTGCAGTTTTTAACCATATTGATAATTTACTTCATTTGAGAGGTTGAGGCAGAAGTTCAAACGTTAAACGTGTACGGGTAGCAGAAGTACACGTTACACGTTTCAAGTCCAAGCAAAAATCGTTGAGGCACACGTTCATAACATCACGTGACTCAGTGAACATCGCGCATTGACTCACGGGAAATAAGTCGAAAAAAATGGCGGAAGCAACATAAATCATAATTTTAACCCCAAACACAAAAAATGAAGACGTTTAAGCCGATCGAGTACTCACCAAGCTATACGTAGCAAACGCCATTATCGACGGTCCAGAGCTGCCAGATGGCGGCGCTCACCCGTTACCCGTACACGTTTTGGGCTAAATACGTGCGCCTCAACCTCTCTATTTAAAATATATGCTCTCCATCTGCAATTAGCAGTGTCTTGCCCCCGTACATCATTCTTTTCTTTTAACAATAGAGTCGTGCCGATCATCTATAATTGCTTTCGAGAGAAAACTTTTGAATCGAAATAGCGTGATTTCCGGTTTGCAACGGAATTTCATGTACAAGTAATCGGGGCATCCCGCTTCTTTTAACGATTCCATAATTTCTCTCGTCTTACATCTAACTTCGTTCTGAAGATGTAAGAATTTAGTTAAGGAAACACTCTGCATTTAAACCCGTTATAGATTTTTATGAATTTTTGGAAATATTTCTGTAGGCGTATCAAAGAATTCTATACTGCAACAACCAACTTGTTCTATTGTCTTTTAATCAATAACTAAAACAGCGGCCGACGGACGGATTATAAAGTTTTACTTTTGAATAGCCGAAAACGTTTCTTTTATTTCATTTCTCCTCGGAACAATTGGTCATTCCAAAATAAATTAATAACACAAAATATCTCAGCTTCTTTCTTGTTGCTCTTTCAACGATTGGGTTGTAACGGAACGTTTTTCAAATTTGAATAAATCCGGTGGAGCCGTCTGTAATTTCAGAAGTAAGAAACGTCATTTTTGCCGTTATTTTTATCGTAAAATCAAGCGTCAATTTCCCAGTCATATTTTACTTCAATAGAATTTACCAGGAATAATATTTTATTAAAAATTAACTATAAAGAAATATTTTTTAATGTAATATACAGTGGCACTGGATAATAAATCCTAGGGTAATTGAAATTTTTAGGAGATAAGGGAAAACAAAAAGGATGTTCAACTTCCGTTGAAGGAAGTGCCTTTTACCAGTTTCCTTCGTTTTAGAAAATATAATTTTCCTATCAAAATCATGGAATAATTTCGTCTAAAATTATATAAAAATCTTATATAAAAAAAATGCAGTTTCCTATATCTGCCCAAATAAATATTTTACACATTTTTTTTAAAAATTAAATTGAACATTATAAACTTTAAATCTATAAAACTTACTTTAATTAACACCCCTGCTATATATGTTATCACTAATCGTACTTGATTTGAACCATCACTGTTAGCCTACCTTGATTAATTAACAGCCGCAAAATTCCAATTTTCTCGCGGTACATTCCAAACATAGATAAACGACAAAGCACATCACCAAGATATATTGACAAAACTTATCTGTAATATTAATTGTTAGCAGAATATATACTTTTACAATAGCTTCTACGTAGAAAACATCTTTTTCGATAATTTCGATAGTGTAATTAATACGTATTCACACATTGGAAGCACTCTAATTCAATACGTTATCTACCTAATTTTACAGCAATTTTAAAATTATCATCAACTTCATGTTCTAAACAAAATTAAAAAAAAAATACCTTGTACAGGTTGAATTAACAGTATGTAATCAGGTTGAAAAATCCTGATGAAATTTAGACCTTACTAAATTTCATCAGAAATTATGTCTACAATACTCTTCACAACATAATTAGCAATAAAATCAAAAAAAAATAAAAAAAATTAGGAAAAGTTACGACTGTATTTTAAAATAAAATATAAAGCTTATTGTTTACATATTTTATATTTACCAAATATTCAATTTTGTAGTAAAATATTGTAGAAACAATGAACAGATTGTACAGTAAACAGGCAACGATAGACATGTAGCAAACGACTCCCTATCAGCTAATTTGCATAATTACACGCGAAACATTCAGCTATACGTCATATCAAATATTTTGCATATTCACGCGAAGCAAATTTTACGTCATGTTCAACAGATTTTCGTATTTTGTCACACTTATAATCAGATACCGCCATCTTTCGAGAATACCAATTAACGCTCCGATTGGAGATTACCGGATGCGCCGCCATCTTGGAACCTAAGGTAACATTAACAAAAGTTTCTTGTCTTAAATAACAAGAGTAAATCGAATTTTATTTTTCAGAGATCAAAATCGGGTGATGCAAAGTTTATAAACGATCACATTGATACCAACAATAATCGGGTATATTCCGAGGAAGACGTTGTCGAAAGAGTAAGAAATGAACGATACGCTTATATGATATTATTATTATATGGATGTTATGATATCCATATAATAAAATGTTATTAATATGAATAATGTATCCTAACAAAAATAACAATTTTGCTTCTTTATAGACAATACTCAACTGCTAAATGATTGGGGGAATTTTTCATTCTCATCATTAGAAGAAAATAATATTCGTCATTTAAGAAATTATATTGACT